TTCACCTCGGAATGGGTTGTGAGGATGAGCTCAACCAAGTTTTATGAACTTGTTTAAGTTCCTAAGTTAGCACATGAAGTTCTTGTTGTTAAAGTCCAAGGCTAACCATATTATATGATAAGGGTACAGATATATACACATATATTTCTTAAGCTTAGTATCACAGTTAATAGTTGTAATTAAAGTAAATTATGAAGCTGCACTTTTTAATCATAGGTTCCTATTAGAAGTCATAATGATGACTCTTCTCCCCCCTAAACCCGCACATTTGGGGCTGGTAAACATAAACATTGTAATCATAAATTACATTAGTTGCATTTTATGCTTTAACATGTCCAATAAACAAGCAGTCATGCATGTTGTAATAATAAGTCTTTCTAGCTTGTAAATATAAGAACACAAATTGGACATGCAAAATAACTCATACAAATCTTAAATGTGCAAAGTAATTTTGAAAATTTTAATATGTAACACTTACTTGACTTGCAGAGCAGAATTAATTTATACTTGAGAAAGAATTGTGTTTGATGAGATAGAAACTCGAGATAGAATTTAGCTTCTTACGAATGATGTTAAATCCTTCTTGCTATGACTCAAGAGCAAATGTGGAGAGAAAAAATTTAGCCTCTCATAAATGATGCTAGAGAAGAAATTTACTTGATCATCTTTGTAAGCTATTGAGCTTTATGGTTGGGGCCCATAGCCTTTTAAAATTGGATGGAGGAGTTGTTCATAGCTCGTGTATAATTTTGATGGAGGAGCTCAGCATAAAGGGATTTCTCTAGAACCCACCCCACATGGAGTCCCTGCACTTTTCCATCTCTAAAATAGCAATGGATATTTATAATCATAAGTGCAAATGAGCAAAGTAGCATGATTATGATATATAAAAAATGAGATGGCAAAATGATATCATGAGTGCAAAAACAAGTGCAGAATGAATAAAAAAATGTGAAATGAATGCAAAGAATGCGAAAAGCAATTAATAATAAATTTTAATATAAGATTGGACCAAGCTTGGACCAAAGCTCTAATTTGCTGCAAAGCTTAATTGCTTTCTTGATAACCTGTATCACAAGGACTTGAAAAAAGGAGAAATCGAAGGCATCCAATTTTATAATCAAGAAAGTATATTATATAAAATAAATAAAAGAAAAAGATTACTAGTTCATCTTTTTTAATTTTCAAAACAATACATGGCTAATGAACTAAATTTATATACATATTAATGTAAAATTTATGCCTTGATATTATTGACATTTGGATGAATTTTATGAAAAATTACTTAATTTTGCATAATTTTCATTCTATGTTGGAGAGCACTTAATTGGAAAAAGTCACAATCCTTAGGAGTAAATTGAAAATATATGAAATTTGAGGATTAAATTGTGCAGAATCCAAAAGTAAAGGATCGAGACTGTAATTTTACCATTAACAGAATTTGCAGAGAAGGACAAAAACCCGACACGGACTCTTCAGGACGAATGCAGGAAAAGTGTCGTCACCTTGTTGAGGGTGTTGAGACCTTGCAGCTCATGCTGCATATCTTTCAGCTCATGCTCGACCTCTAGACCTCGTGTTCAACTTCTGCACTTCATGCTCGGCCTCTGTAGCTCGTGGCTGACCTCGGTAGTGAGTGTTTGAGCTCTACAGCTTGTTGTCACAGCACGCAAGTTCGGGGGTCGAAGTCGAGGGCATCGTGGCATGGAGCTGCAGCCAAGGGCACACAGGGGGTGTGTCTAGCGTCCAGAGGACATGCCAAGCAGCGTCGCGGAGTACAAGCGCAAACACGAGCACGGGCACAAGTGGAAGCGCAAGCAGAAGCATGGATGCGGGCATGGAGGACGCGGGTGTCAGTGTCGCAACATGGGGTTGCGGCTACGACACATAGGTATACAAGGACGCAAGTGCAAGGAGGATCGCGCAAGATGCAGCAGGCCTTGCCAGCGGAGGCATCGATACCAAGGCCGTGGCGTGAAGTTGCGAACAGGATGCGCGAGGGCGTGCGTAAGCAGTTAGGGACGACATGCGTGGGCACGCGAGAGTGTCCTGGGCCGAGACATGGGTGCACACACGGGCAAGCTGGGTCGAGGCGTTGGCACGCATGGGTGCAGTTTGGTTCGAGGCGTGGGACGCGTGGGCGCGAGCGCGACATGGAACGCTCAAGAGGCGAGCCTTGCACGAGTTGGCAGCATCCATGCCAAGGCCGTGGCACGGGGTCACGGTCGAGCCATGCTGGAGCGCGCAAGAGCGGTCAAGGGCGTCCACAATGCATGCCATGCCAGCAGCAAATAGGAGAAGCCTAGAAAATTCTAGAAGCTGCTGGGTGTGCAGTGATGGTTTCAGACAAGGGTCTAGATAAGGACCAGAACAGTGATCTGGATAAGGACGTGAACAGTGCTCCGCGCGTGAACAGTGTCAGACAAGGGGTTTGGAATGGGCTTAATAGGTCAAGCCTAACTTGGGGTTTCTCCTAGGCCTTGTAGATAATTCTAGAATAGGAGATTCTAGAATAATGTAGGCTTAGGAGGGAGAATGGAGGGTATTCTAGTAATTGTACAAATTAGGGGATTTGTGTGGAGTGTTCTAGAGCCTTCACCTGCAGAAGGGCTTGGGCCTGATCTCTTCTATAAATAGGGGTGGCCTTAGTAGAGGAGACCAGAGGTTCCAGACATGGAGTGAGGCTGAGAGAGTGAGCTGCTAGGTGAGAGTGAGTGCAGAGAGGGGCTTTGTACTCAAACACTTGTACACTCCCTTGCGATTTAAATAAATTCTCTTCTTCTCCCAACTTCCTACCTTCGTGTTTGTGTTGCTAACCTCGAGCCCAGTTAAGGGGCCACGCCAGTGTTGGGGAAGGCTGACTTGGTTCGGGTTTAACGGGGTTAATTCCGAGCTAAGTGCCGCACGAGGTCAAGCTAGATTCCGCCTCCGAGACAAGTGCCATCGGAGTTAATCTGACCCCGTGACATTGTGCTCAAGTTCTGCACTTCGTGCTCGACCTCGGCAGCAAGTGTTTGAGCTCTGTAGCTCGTGGTTGACCTCGGCAGCTCATGTTTGAGCTCTGCACTTCGTGCTCGACCCCTGCACTTTGTGCTCAACCTTTGCAACTCATGGTTGACCTCGGCAGCTCATGTTTGTGCTCTACAGCTTCATGCTTGACCTCTGCAGCTTGTGGTTGAGCTCGGAAGCTCGTGTTGGAGCTTTGCACTTCCTGTTTGACCTCTGCAGCTCGTGTTTGAGCTCAACAGCTCGTGTTGGAGCTCTGCACTTCCTATTTGACCTCTGCAGCTCGTGTTGGAGCTCTGCACTTCATGCTTGGCCTCTGCAGCTCATAGTTGAGCTTGGAAGCAAGTGTTTGAGCTCTGCAACTCATGCTCAAGTTCTACACTTCATGTTGGACCTCTGCAGCTCGTGGCTGACCTTGGCAGCAAGTGTTTGAGTTCTGCAATTCGTGGTTGACCTCAGCAGCTCGTATTTGACCTCTGCAGCTGGTGCTTGTGTTCTGCACCTCGTGGTTGACTTTGGCAAACTCTTTTTTGTCTTGCACATATCTCAATCTTCTTGGTCAAATTTCTTCCACGTCTCAACTTCCTCCAAATATTGGGAATTGGGTGTTTGATTTGATCAAGGAAATGTGAAATGTGTATAGAGGTGAGGGGAGACAGAACAGAAGATGGATTTGGAGAAATCTATTTTTGGTAGGAAATGGCAATGTTGTGAACAAGAGCTGCTGCACCTAAGGCGCTGCCACAACCGGTGGCTCTGGTGATTTGAACAACTACAATAAAGAGGTTAACAACTCGGATCTCAGAGTCACTTCGTACTCCGATGACGCCAAAGGCCGGGGTCGGGAGTTGTCCACTTACACGGAAAACACCAACACTGGAAATAGCCAGACATTTATCAGTTATCAGCCAGACTTTGTTGAATGCCATCTCCCCCAACTCCATGCCTTTATTCACTACACCCTCCAACCCCATTTCTGTTTCCTTCGTTTTGTATTACCAACTGAATAGATGGGAAGTACATCCATGGTTGAGGAATAGAGAGGCACATGATTGCCATCGCCGAAACAGGAGGAGCTTGGAAGAAAAGGGATATTTTATTTATTTATTTATTTTTATTTTTTTGGGAACTTTCATGGTCCGTGCTCACCACCTCTTCCTTTTCTTTTCTCTCTTTTTTTTTTTGTCTTTTTCTTTTTCTTTATTTATTTTTTTATATATTTACATATTTTTACTACTTTGACTTGTCTTGAACATGTGCTTTACTGACACTTTTTTTTCCTTTTTTGAATATTCATGTTTGACATTACACCATACGTACCTTTTATTTTATTAAATAGGCTCTCGATAATTGTGCAAAATTGAACCTCGATAATTATGCAAATCTACTCCTCTGTTTATCTTCTTGTGAAAGCTTCTCTTCTTTACAAGTGAATAAACCCATTTTGTAAATTCATCATATCTATTTTTGCGAATCAAAAGAATCAGCCATGAGCCTTTCACTCATCTTCTCTTCCCTTTGATCAACCGGATCAACATACAAATAAAGCTTTTTATTCAGTTTCCCACAGACGGCTCCAAATATAATTGCACCAAACCAGAGATCCTTCTTCAATCTACGTCTTCACTTCAGATGAACTTGCAAAGCCTCGAGGTTGGTCCTCAAGGTAGACACTCCGATACCTAAGTCAGCAATAATCGGGTCTATCTCTGGACTAATGAAAAATGAGCTTTAAGATGGTTTCAATTACCTTTCTGAGGTGGCCCTTGGGGGGTATTTATAGGCCTTCATGAGGTATCCACATGGCTTGCTTAGCAGGATGATCAGAGTGTGATGTGTCCCTTAAAGAGATAAATTCGGGATCGGTGACAAATTCAGGACCGGAGAATTGTGTGATAAATCAAGTATGGGCATGCCCACTGTATTTACTGTGCAGTTGTTTGACCAGAAGTGCTGGATTTAACTTCACTTCGGCTATTAAAGAATTATAGTAGTACGTCCAAGGTCAAGGACCTCGGACATATCCTTACAACTCCTAATCCCTTACTTGATCTCACCTACATGAGTTATCCACCTCTGTAATTCCCTTCCTTCCCCAGCACACTTGAGATGGCTGACAAAGGCTTCCTGATGCCACCTTCACGTTACTACCACGAAGGGTTTAACTCCCATATTAGTAGAAACCCTACTTATTATAGGGGGCTTTACATAAACAATATTTAAATGATCATAAAATTTATAAATTAAAATATTATTAATAACAAATACAAAGACGGATGACTACATGTCATTTAACACATTTTGAAAATATACATTACGGTTCTTGAATTAAATGCAATTTGTTAACTATGTTATCCCAATATTTTTTCTTTTCAATTGTGAATCGAAGATGACCAGTACACAACACCTTTATATAATGTTCTTTGGTGACTCTTCGAAAGTTTCTTCCAGTTTACAAAATGCTATTTCTAAAGATCTTGATAGATATTTGGAGTACATTTTTCAATATTACACAATTGACAAACCAATGATTGTTGTTGTGAGTATACATATGCAATATGTCAAAAAAATCACAAATTTGACACATTCATCTTTTCGCTATTTTAAAATTTGGACCGGACCAATTAGTTTGACCAATTAAACTGCAACCAATTATAAAACGATTTGAGTCATGACATAAACTAAGTGTGTAGTGAGACTTAATCAGAGTGAGTCAAACCCATTAGTTTTTGAATAGATGAATCTTCTTATTCACAAAGTTTGAATATCCTTTAGGGGATTCAAACCCCACCCCCTCAACACACATTGTAGGGTTTTCACCACCAACACCACTGTTATCATTTTAAAAAATTTATTTAATAAAAATAAAATAAAATATTATATTATATTATATATTTTTTTAACTTAGTTAAAGTTAATAGTGCATTTATTTAATTTTTAATAATTAATTGTTTTTTTAAGTCAATATCATGTTAATGATTTTAATTGTATATTTAATAAATGAAATTTTCTAATATGTGCTCTTAGGATATAGATAAAATTTTATTAAATATAATATCTTTAATTAATTTCATATAAAATTTTATATCAGATTTAATTAAAATAAAATATAAAATGTAAAATTAAAATATAGTATAATATTTATACTCAAAATTTGTAAAAATGTAAGAATTTGATATGAAAATTTGTGCAAAATTAATTAAGGATTCTACATTTAATGAAACTTAACCTATGCCTTTAGGAACAGATTAAACAAACTCTTAACAAATTAAAATTAATTTTTAGTTTTTTTATAAAAATTAATTATTAAAAGGCATATAAAATACAAGAGAACATGTTAGAAAAATATTTTCATAAATTAAAATATATAAATTAGTTAATTTTAAAAATAAAATAACAAAATTAAAATAAATATCTTTAAACTCAAATTATAAATCATATTACTAAATTAAATTAAGCTTTTATTTCTAAGATTTAAAAATTTTTATTTAATAAAATCATAAATAATAATGACAATGATTTGATAAGACTCAAAATTTTAAGTGTTTAAATATTAAATAATATTGTTCTTTCCCTTTCTTTTTACTTTTTATAGAAATTATTTGATGTTAAAAGATTTAAATTAAAATTTTTATTTAACTTTTATAAAATTACTAATTGTTACATTTAATTTTTAATTATGAATAAATTTAAAAAAGTTTAATAATTTAATATTTACATAATTACTATATGTTTTAAAATTAAGTTTTACTTCTTACTTTTTTAAAATTTAAAAATATTATTTTTTGTATGATTGGTTGAACTAGTCGATTGAACTGGTTCAAACGATTGAGTCAGTTCAAATGATTAAACCAGTTCAAACCATTAAACCAGACCTAATGCCCAAAAGCACTGGGTTAATTCTTAAAACATTGTATCTTTCAAACCTCTTGGGAGTTGGAATCTTTTGGCCCATTTTTGGTTGTTTTGCAATTTTTATAGTTTTTCTTTTTATAGCACTTCAAGTTGGGGCTACACTAAGATGGTTCTAGAGTATCTTTAATGACTTCCATATAAATACAGATAGACATTACTAAGTTAGATAGTATAGATGTTATTGAAATTTAATAAAAATAAATAAATATTTGAACATTCATAATATTGATACCATCATATTGACCATTAAAATAATCTTTACTTTCCATTTATAAAATTTCAATAACTAACAAAAATTATCATTATTAGAATATAAAACATGAATTAATTTTTTTTAAAGAGAAATAGAGGTCTATATTAAAATACATATGAGAATAATTGCAAGAGAAGAAATGAATAAATAAAGGTGAGTGCAATTGTTGTGCAGCACTGTACTAGTTTAAGGGACAAATCATTGATGTAAGGCATTTTCGTAATTTCGTTATGTTGAAAATTTGGTGAAGTTGTCTGTTAAAGATGTTGAATAGAAATTAGCACTTTTTTACTATGTTGGTGTTTGGAACTTTTAACATGGTATATGTTGCAAATTTAATGATAATAGAAATTAAGTGGGGTTGTTGACCAACAGTTTTTAAATAGCATTCAACGAATACCATATCAACATTTATTGTATTTACTGATTCGATATAGGTTAAAACATAAAAAGTGATTGAAAAAATATAGCAATTGTTTACAATGTTGTGATTCTTGTATTTACTGATGTGCTTTATGTTAAAAATTTCATTCAAGACCAAAAAATTTTAGCATCACAATCCATGTTGGTTATGCTAATTTTAGCAACATGTTAGTATTTTAAACTACATAAATGAATTAAATATCACCCATGTGCGTAAATACATCAATGATTTTACCTTGTTGAAGCTTAACCCTCTAGTAGTGAATCTTCTTAAGGAAACTTAATTCCAACATCCATTCCCCTAAGTGCATGTTCCTTAACAAAATTGATTTTATTTCTCCTAAGAGAACTATCACACACTCTCTCTTTTTCTAGGGTATTTTTTATGAGACTTTGAGGATGGTAAGTCAAGCACAAGTAGATTTGACAAACAAGATGAATCGGATGGGTTCAAAGTAGGTCATTTCAGATTTCAAGTTTATTAGATTAAGTTATTTTAGATTTTGGATTAAAAGGAGTGAATCCATAACCCATCCATAGAGGTTTTAGATTGGATTGAGTGGATTCAATTTAAAAAAAAAATTAAAAATTAAAAATAAAAATTTTCAATATTTTATCTAATTGTTCTAAAAAAATAATATTAATTAATTATTTAGTAAAACTAATCTATTAAATTAATATTGACTCTAATAATTTAATAAATAATAACCATTTTATAATAATCAATTTTATTTTATATTAAAAAATTAAAATTAAAAATATAATTAATCAAAATTTGAAATTTAAAAAAAATTAATTAATTAATTTTAGTCAGATTACTTGATACTAATCCAACTGACTTTGACCCAATTCAATTGAATTTGTATAATTTTGATATGAGATATATTATATTTTAAATTAATATCTTAAACTTATAATCCTATTTATAAGGATACAATAAATGAGTGAGGTCAGAATTTTAAATTGAATCTAAGTTTTTCAAGTCTAAGCACATGCTGCTATTCCTACTCTTGAAAATAGTACAAATTTTGTGAGGTTCCTTTTACACCTCTCTAAGTTGTTTAGCTCTAAACCAGGCACCATACATGCCATTGCAAGGGTCCTGAAGGGACACAATTTTGCGTTCTCCGCAAATCTTCTCACGGCACAATTGTTAGACATTCCTCCTACAGGGGGCTCTTACCAGATTGCGTTGACCAACAACCTTAATGATCATCCTACAGCTCAGGAAATGATGTGAAGTTTGAATATTCTCCTTTATTTGAGAATTAATGGGCCCCACATGCACTGAACTTGTTCTTCACCTTAAAGGGGGAGTTGTAATTATTGCTGTTGTTAATATTGTTGAAATGATTAAAATTTAAATATTTACTTTAAATAATATCTAAAATTATTAATTTGTAAATAATTTTAATTTATTAAATAATAAATATGAATTATTTTATTAATTAATAATTATTTTTATTAATTAAATTAAATAAAATTAATATTTATAAAAATGATATTTTATATTTTTAACTATGGTAACATTATTAATAGTAGTAATAATAGTTAGGGATGACCACGGTCCCTATAGTGAGTAAACACTTATTTTTAGTCTTTTACTTTAATAAATTTATAAATTTTAACTCATCACATTATATTATGACATTTTTAATCCTTTATCTATATGAATTGAAGAATATAGTATTTATTTAATATCAGGTTATAATATTTTGTTAGTTCTGTTAACTAACTGTTAATTTTGTTAACTGACTATTAACGGAACTAACAAATAAAATTGAATTTAAATTTTATGTTTTCTATAAGAAAATGTTTATAGTCAACTAACAGAACTAACGATCAGTTAACATGACATTAAATAAAAGCTATTTACTTCAATTCGTATAGGTGAAGGGGTTAAAATTGTCATAGTATAAAATGATGAATTAAAACCTATAAATTTATTAATATAAAAGATTAAAAATAGGTTTTTATCCCCATAAGGGTGGGGACCTCCTCCTCATCTTGATTATGGGGATCCCCCAAGGAGATTTTTGGTGGAAAGTCAAAAATAGCCTTCATCTTTATTCTCACGAGAAATGATAAGTCTTCATGGATATTTAGAATCTCCGTCAAGTATTAAATATAGGTAAAATCCCTAATTTGATCCCTAAATTATTATATGGACCCCCAATTTGGTCCTTAAACTAAAAAAATCCTTGATTTGGTCTTTGAACTATTGTACAGATCCTCGATTTGGTCTCGCTATTTATCAATTTACCCTAAGTTGATCCTTCCGCACAAAAAATAGCTGACGTGTCTTGTTATTAATGTAACATATAACCGTTAAATTACTGTTTTTTACCGTTAAGTAATGGACACGCCAATTATTTTTTGTATAGAAAGACCAACTTGGGATCAAATTAGTAAATAATAGGGATCAAATCAAGGGTCTGTACAATAGTTCAAGGACCAAATTAGGAATTTTTTTTAGTTTAGAGACCAAATTGAAGGTCCGTATAATAGTTTAAGGACCAAATTGAGGTTTTAACCTTAAATATATAAAATTCAACCTTATTTTCTCCTTGACAAACAAAAAAAAAAATTAAAACAACTCAAACAAGTAAGTATATTAACATATAGTGCAACTGAATAATATCTAGTAACTAATTATAGCAAATACACATTATCATACACATTTAGGTTAGATTGAGTTTAAATTGGGTTTGAGAAAATTAGAACTGGAAAAAGATTAAGTTAGGCCATTTAGGTTAGGTTAAATTAACCAATTAAATTGAGTAAGTAAAAATTAATTAATAATATATTTATAAAAATATATAAAAATAAATTTATATATTATTTATTTATATATAGACCCTATGAGTTTCCATAGGACGTGAAAATTTTCTCAAGAAATTGAAAAAAAAGAAAAAAAACCTTCATCCTTACTTCACAAAAAGAAATATTTTAAAATTTTTCAACCCTACGATGGGAATTTCAACGAAGCTTTGCGGGTCTAGAGGAGATTGTCATCTCTAATAATGGTCGCGATGACCGTGGCCAGAGAAAGCTAAAAGCTTTCTTCTTTTCCACCGACAAACTACGGTGTTGGTCCACAGGTTTCAAATTTTTTAATATTTTGACCACTCAAAAAATTTTTTTTTCTGTCTCTGATTTTGTCCCTTGAATCAGCATCTTTTATTTATGGGGTTGTTGTTCACATGGGAGGAGGCACACCGCTAGCAAAGGGCTGACGATGACGAACATTATCTTAGCGTGCTGGCCTCCGTCAACGCTGGCCTTGTTTGCTTTTTCCAAGAAGTACATTTTCCTCAAAACTACTTTGCAGAAAATTTTTTTTTTTTTTTTGAACTGAGATTGGGGGAGTGAGTGCCTGGAACTCAGGACTTTAACCTAACGTCCTAAATATGCCCCTCTTTTATGATTATCAGTAGGTCAATCAATGATACAACTACTTTGCAGACTTAAATGCAAAAATAGAGTTAATTTAAGGGCTTACGTTTCGCGTTGGAGAAATTCGAGCTGACCAGCAACATGGAACGCGCATACCCTGCAAAGGAAAGGATTTCAACCGCTAATAACAGCCGGCCTCAAAATTTTAGTACTAACAAAATTTCTTCGCTAACAAAATTTCTTCGTTCATCTTCACACGACCGAAATCTGTCTGTATTTCTTCCTTGTTCTTGCTGATTTTCTGTATATTACTGCTTTCCTATCTGTTTTAGCAATGATATAGGATCAGTTATCCTTCTGATTGTTGGATTTGGATCTTTTTTCCGTGATTATTTGATTCAGTTTTTTGAGCTTAAATCTCAAGAAAATGGGTGACATGAAAGATAAAATGAAGGGTTTCATGAAGAAAGTCACATCTTCTTCCTCTGGTAAATTCAAGGGTCAGGGCAGAGTCTTGGGTTCTTCTCCATCTGCACCTGTAAATCCCATTATTACTCGTCCCAACCAATCCCAATCCCAATCCCAGATTCAAAGATCTAATCCCCCTTCTTCTTCTTCTTCTTCTTCTCCTAAGCCTCTACCTCAGCAACTGATGAATTCTGATAATAACAATCCGGTATCTGTCAACTATCCATGTCCGCCCCGCAAACCTACAAATGGATTTGATCCCTACGAGTCATTGATTACTTCTAGCAAGATCTCAAGAAATGGGTATTCGTTAAACGTGGTTGACTGCCCAATTTGTGGTGCATCTTTTGGATCTGAGGAGGAGGTGTCTAGACATGTAGAAACCTGTATTGACAATAGTGAGGCTGAGGATGAAAGTGTTGATGGTGCTTCAGGGTTGACTGTCAATGGGGTTGATTCAAGGGCTGAATTGGAGGCTTGTGTTGGTTCTTTCCTGTCGGGGAAGCCATCAGAGGGGTCAGTAGATGTTGTTCTTAGGTTGTTCAGGAATATAGTGAAGGAGCCAGATAATGCGAAATTTAGGAAGGTTAGGATGAGTAATCCGAGGATAAGGGAGGCCATAGGGGAAGTTTCTGGAGGTGTTGAGTTGTTAGAGATTGTTGGGTTTGAATTGAAGGAGGAGGGTGGTGAAATGTGGGCAGTGATGGAGACTCCAAAGGAGGAGGAAATTGGTTTGATCAGCAAGGCAATAGCATTACTGGAGCCCAAAAATTTGGAAGAACCTAGAAATATGGGGAACCCACTGTCTTCAGCTTCAGCCGAGGGTAACAAAGAGGAAGCTCTTGAGCCAAAGAAGGTTGATAGACAGGTATGTTGTGTATTGCTCATTTCTGCTGCAGGATTTGTTGTTGGTGGTTAACTTTATTACCTGCCTATTTATATTCCTTTACATGCCCATTTTGCAAGATTGTTGGTGCTGGTTAAAAGTACATTATTAACATGCTAGCAAGGTTGGCCCAAGAAAAAAAAACATACTAACCATATCTTCGAATAGTTGAAAATGAATTGTCAATTGTTTTTATATACTCTTTGCCCTATCAATTGTTGCTAAATGAAATATCAAAAACTTCTTTTCGCGTTTCTTCTATAACAATCTTCATTGAAGGGAATGACCCTGAGAGGGAAAGTGATGCCTTAGTGCGTGGAAGAGAGTAAATGCCTAACAAATACACAATTAGATGCTGTTTCATGCTGCCTGAGAAAATTGATATGAAATTATTCTACAAACTTCTAACGGATTACTTCATGCCTCTAATGTGATGTTGATGTAAGGAAGCTTGAGAAAGAGCAAACTTATGGACCAAAATAATCTAGAAGTACTGGCACAGAACAGGAAGTGATTAAAAGGCTGTGAGATCAAGAATTTTTTTGTTTTGCTAACCATGGTCTGGTTATAGTCATATAAGTTAGGAGGAGAAAACTAGAAGAAAAATGACTTAATGAGTTGCAATCGTTTGTTATTTTGTCGGTGTATCTAGTAGAATATTGGGTGTTGATACAAATTTTGGTGCCTAATTCATGATTGTTCTATACCATAGATGCAGCTTTACATGCTTATTTGTGCATGAGTTTTGCTTGGGCACAGAATGTCCAAAATGTTCGCAGTGGATATGGAAGTAAGTTATGACGGTAAAAAAATAAAAAGATACCCTCTGTTTGGTTTGCAGAAAATGACTTCATGGAAATTATAGTTGAGATAAATTATTAATTTATACATGAGAAGTAAAATATTTTGATATAGTTGATACTTCTTTTCTTAGAAAATAAGTTCCTCTTTTCAATGATGTGTGAGTTATTTTCCTGTATAGATTAATGAATGGTGTTATCTATGATTTTCTGGAAATCATTTTCTGCAACTTGATTATCAGTTATCAGTCTATTGCAAATCTCTACATAAACAGAGAGTTCCCTTTCTAAAAAGGTTTGAAGCTCCTTGTGATTGCCATTTTAGCTGCATTTTTGTGTGCCACATACCCTCTGCACTCACCTCTTAGGCCTAAAACAAATTATTGTCCTTCAAATTCGAAATTCTTTTTGTTAGTCTGTGTAGCCAGTATGCTTCCTAGTTAGCACGTAACTCATGCTAAAAGAAGCTCATTCCAAATTGATGATAAGGTTTTTCAGTTTTTGTCATATTCATTTCTCATTGCAAGTCTGAAAAGCCTTACCTCACTACCTTGTGCTAATTTCCTAAATTAATTTCAGATTATGATTTTTCAGCAAGCTTTGTGAATCCTAAATTGTTATTGCTAGACATAAGCAGCTTCCTTTATCATATTAGCCTTTATCCAAAAGGTTTATGTTAGCCTTTTCTTTTTCCTTTTCTTCATAGAGAAAACCAAGTTCTGCTTTAGGTTCACAACTTTTCTAATGCAACCTGAGAGGAATCTTAGTTCTCAACCTAACAAAGAGTATAAGATTCATTAGTACTTGAATAGCCAGGTGTCTGCTTAAAGAAACTGGAAGAATGCTTCCCATTTTGATATATGGAAGCATATTGGCAAACAAATCTTGGTAGCTCACTCTTATTATTTTTTCAGTTTGTAGAAGAAATAAGAATGTCAGTTATGCAAGGTTCTGATTTTCTGGTTTTGTTGTCAATTAACTTTTTTGTTTGAACATGATTCTAATCTCTTGTTGAAAATAGACAATGATGTGACTAAAAATATAAGTCACCTCCTCATCTAGTAAGAAGTATTCTGTATGTAGAAGAAACTATTCCTAGAAGTGCCATTGGACTAAACTATGGGTTGCTTTCTCCTACTACCATTGTGGAATGATACTTTCCTAAAAATTGCCTTTGTTTAAAATTGATGCATGCTGCTTTACTGTCTGATTCTCTCACAATATGCTTCCTTTCATTGGCTTCACATTTATTATAGTTGATTATTTTGTTAATGCTCATTATTTTTATAATGATGAATCAACATAAAGTTTCTTTTGATCTATCATATAAGTTCCTTGCTTTTGTTGTTTCAATTCTTTTTTATGTAGTATTTAATATACTATGGTTTTTGTTTCCTAAAGAACATTTTCAGTACAATCTTATTTTAAATCTTAGAATCATCAATTTAAATATTTCAGATCCGTGTATTCTTCTCTGTACCTGAAAGTGTAGCAGCAAAAATTGAGTTGCCAGATTCTTTCTATAACCTCTCACTTGATGAGGTGAAGAGAGAAGCTGACTTGAGGAAGAAAAAGATTGCAGAATCCCAGCTTTTAATCCCTAAGTCTTACAAGGAAAAACAAGCAAAAGCTACCAGAAAGAGATATGCAAGAACGGTTATCCGTATCCAGTTCCCTGATGGCGTGGTGCTCCAAGCTTTTTTCTCTCCCCAGGAGACAACTACTGCTCTTTATGAGGTATGTCCTCTTGACTATTCATTTAATTTATTATTGTTTGCTTCCTCTTTTTTGTATATTTTGAATTAAAAGCACTTTGATATCAAAATGAGTTTGTCATAGATTTGAGACCTAATTTCCTAAATTTACCTATATTACTATATTGAAGTTTTAAGGCATGATATTTTCCCTTTTCAGTTTGAAAGGATGAAATTTCTTTACACTATGTCTATGATTGTACTGAATGGAAGTTGACAGCCTATTAATTATTGGACTTCGTGGTCTTTTTGCATCACATTATGGCATTTTATCTTTCATTTATTGCTGGCAGAATGCCAAAAAATTTGCTTTGGTGGGACAGCTACTTAGCTAGTGTTCTGGAGGATGCTATTTAGGATTATTTGGGTGGGTAGAATTTAAAATAAGATGTGGATGAGATAAAAAATTTTAAGGTTGTATAGTTTCTGGCCTGATATTGAGAACAATAAAATAGGGAAGGGAGTTAAATGGCCAATTAATGCATGTAAGGTTTGGTTTGGTTCTAGAAGAGATTCCATGCTTGTCATGGGATGGGGAAAGTTTAGAAAACTATCCTCTGGTTTATCGTCACATTACTACTCTGTGGCTAACATTTGGTTCCACTGTTAAGGAGGATATTTAAAAATGAGTGTAAATTTACCAAATTAAATTCAAAAGTCCATTTGAGCTCTAAGTTGTATGGGAAAAAGAAGTAAGAAGGTCCATCTAAATAATGCTTGTTCTTTTCAAAGATTCTTTTTTTCCTTCTGCCATTGAACAATAATTTCATTTCATGGGAAAAAATAAAAGCTAGGAATTAGACAACTATTATTAGAAAACAACCATACAAAGCATTGACCAACACTAGAAAGCATCATCGATCAAGGTCTGGGAAAGTGAGGGCAGAATGAAGATAATCTTACCAAATATCTAAGCCGTATCACCAATCTTTACACAAAATAGTGGACAGTTTAGTTGCCACTCTAAGAGCCGAATTGTTGTTTGCTAAATCCTGAGCTTGATTCAAAGCCATCCGCCTTTTTATATCCTGGACTGCTATTACTGTTGTGAATGCCTCAACAAGTCTTTTGAATCAACTTCAACAATCACTTTGCCTGTGTCATTTTACCATGCCATTTTCATCAAATTCTACAAAGCTAGTATTTCTTCCAAGTGATTTGTCACAAGTCTTGGCTGAGCCCCTGTGTTTGAGGGATGATTGAAAGCATATGTATTCTACTCTTCAAAATTTGGGTTTTAAACTGGGAACTTTGGCTGTAGTGTTCTTAGTGGATTTTTTTTTTTTTGAACGGCGTTCTTAGTGGATTTTTAAACCCAAGTAAACTCAAGAGTTTTGATAATTTTGGCTTCCAAAGTTAATAGTCCTTATCTTCTTCATGGTAGATTGTGACAACTTGTTGACTACAAAGTAGTAAAGTGACACAAACTAAACCATGGGGTACCAAATAGAAATTGAACTAGACCAAAGGGTATTTTTTGAATGATCATGGTGATTATTGGTCTGAATTCTGAGAGTATTAGTAGTTGCAGTGACTATTAAAAGGTAAAGAAACTTTTAATCTTTTGACCAGGTTTGTTACATCACACAAGTACCATGTGCTTAATTATTGATGAAAATCAAGGGCAAATTGCATATAACCTACCTATGGTTATGAGCCAGTGCATATAATCGCTGAGGTTTCAAAATGTGCATAGAACCTAGCTGTGGTCTTGGCAAGGCTCAAATAACCTGTGGGTTTTAAAATATGCAAATAACCACCTAAGGTTACGTTATAGTCATTTTCCCACTGATGTTATACATGAAAAGTGAAATGTCCTAATTACCCTTAACCTGGAAGAGAGGGGAAGAAAAAAAACACACACCTAAGGAAAAGATAAGAAAATTAAGGGCATTTAGGATATTTCGTTGGATAAGGTAACAGAGGGCAAACCTAGATGATGTACGCATTTTGAAACATCAAGGGTTATGTTCATGGGCAATTTCTCCTAAAATCTATGAAGGTTTTTTTCCAATTAATTTGAAAGAGTTGAATAGTTATGTACATCAATGTAGAAAACTACCTAATTTGATAGCAAATGATTTCTAGACTGTTGGCAAAGTCCCTTTCAAAGGAAAAATAAGTCAGAAATATGCTCTTGTATAATCAACAATTTTAATAAAATAGTGAAGCTAAAGTGTTCTCCTGAATTGCCTTGGAACCTAAACTTAAAGAATTAAAGTTAAGCGAAAAACAAAACCAACATATTTCCCATGCAGAAGAAACATAAAATGGGACTTGATACTAGCTAATTTAGCTTCTGTAAGTCCCCAAACCAGCATAGCATTGAGGAGAAAACATATGCCTAGATTTCCTTGATGCTACTTTTCCTTTCTCTCTTTCTTTTTACCTTTTCAATGTATTAGTCTTAATTTTTTCATGGTATAATTTTGATATTTTGTCCATATAAAACTTCTTCTTGGCTTGCTTTTTATTCTGTTTGCATCTCATTGTGAACATTTTGTTTACATGGCATATGGTTTTTAAATAGGCCATGTTAGATTAGAGGTTTTGGTGGAATAGCATTAACTCACTCACCTCCATCCTCCCAAAAAAATGCTGTTTCAAAGTTTACAAGAACTGCTCCATGTTCACCTCTATTTCCTGTTCATGCGTAGACGTTGGCTATATTGATGTTACAATTATCGGCTGCGTACAAAGGGAGTTTTAGCTCTGTTTTTGCAGTTGTGAAACATATTTTGCCATGACTTTAAACATATGAACACGGATGATCAGAATTTTTTTTTTTTTTTTTGATAAAATGTAAATTTTATTACCAAAACTTCCACCATACAGAAAGCAGCTCTTTATAATACAGGCTGCTACCAATGTTCATATACAAAGAATGAATCAGCTATACACAAATGGCATATCAGTCTATACAAAACTTTTAATCCCCATTTTGAGGCAATACTGCTAGGTATCGGGGAGGATTTTGCTTTAGCAAATCCAAGTACCTTGTCATGAACATCTATTTATATTGCAAACTCACTTTTGAATGTCTGTTTATAATCAGATTTTTTACACCTGTTTGACTATGAAATGATTTATTCTCTCTTTTTGATCTTCAGTTCGTTGGCTCAGCTCTGAAAGAATCCAGTTTGCAGTTTGAACTGCTAGATCCTGTACTGGTTAGGAGGCGGGTGATCCCTCATTTTCCCACTACAGGGCAGAAACCAACGACACTGGAGGAGGAGGGTTTGGTCCCCTCTGCACTTATTAAGTTCAGGCCTATTGAAACGGATTCAGTTGTTTTCATGGGGCTTTCTAATGAGCTTCTTGAAATCAGTGAACCCCTTGTAACTGATTCAGCAGTTCCTCCAGCCTAAGCTTTTGATGTTCCTCATAAATTTACCAACATCAGGTTTCTTGGCATATTCATTTTTCTGAATCTATACATTGGTTTTTATGTTGTTTATAATGATGGACTATATAAGTGGGATAATTCTCCTCTTTTTTTAAATTTCTCTTCACTTAACTTAAGATTCAAACTTGAGAACTCTAACTTAGAATTTCAAACTCTTAACCATTAAACCACTCCTTTAGGGGTCTCCTATTACAATAATATGGTTACTCTCATCATAAACTAGTTGATGGTCACAGACTAGAATTTTGCATCAACTTTTGTTTTAGGTAGCCACCCATGGCCAAAACCTCAGTTTACTGTTTACCTTTTCCCCGGTATTTTATGGGGAACTGCCTTCATACAGTGCAATTACAAAGATGTCATTTGAATGTTTCATGAACTGACGTTTATGAGTAATTTGTTGAGCTCCGTTGTGCGCATCACCTCCTAGCTCCTCCCATGGGGACAACTTACAATGTTTGTTTCAAGAAAATAAATTTTATTACGGATCTTCAGAACCGTTAAATACAACGATTATGCATGCATATTGCATGACCAAATAGAATGGAGCTCGTTTCAACCATCTTCATGATATTTTAATGAGATAGCAAAGCCGTTATTTTTCATTTTGTACTAGGTAGGATAGGTTGGTTTGTGTCCTTTTTTTTTTTTTTTTGTGCCAACAGAAAAATATTGATCGAGTTTTTACACTATAATGGTGTTTGCTGGTAACAGATACTTCTGAAAGAGACTTCTATTTTAAACTGGCAGTATTTCAACATGAAGAGATGTCTCTTACTTGTGAATTTAGTATTAACAATAGGCAAAAATATGACATAAGGACCCGAACTTACACCAAATTCGCAATTTCGGACCCAAACTTCGATTGCGCTCAATGAAGGTCCCGAACTCCAGGAAATTCTCAAATAAGGTCCCAATTAGACGGAAAACTAACTTACGATCAAATCTCCTATTATTCCGTTAATGTTCCGTCACATTTCACACCCGCCACTTGAAAAAAATTGGTTAAATGCTAATTTTGGTCCTCAACTTCATTGAGTTTCACTTTTTTGTCCCTTAACTTTATTAAATTTCACTTTTTTGTCCCTCAACTTCATTAAATTTCACTTTTTATCCCTCAACTTTATTGAATTGTATTTTTTTGGTTCATAAACTATTTTTTGTACTTTTTTGGTCCTTAGATTATTTTTTACACTTTTAATCCTTAACTCTTTAATAACTGCACAATTTTGATACTTTCATCAGTTTAAGCCATTAACTCCATTCACTTGGTGTTTTTTTATATTTTTTTGACGATATATATAATCTAACTAGAAAAAAATGATAACATGGATAAATAAAATAACATGTAGATAAATCTTTATATTTTTTATAAAAAAATATAAAAACCTCTCTACCTGTTTTCTTCCTCCTCTTTCTTTCTCTTTCTTCTAGCGGGGGAAGAAAATAGGTGGAGAGGTTTTTTATTTTTATTAAAAATATTAAAATTTATCTACATATTATTTTATTTATCCATGTCATCATTATTTATAGTTAGATGATCTATCTTATCATTTTTTTTCAGTTAGATTATACATGTCATCAAAAAAATATAAAAAATACCAAGTGGAAGGAGTTAATGGCTTAAACTGATGAAAGTATCAAAATTGTGCAGTTATTAAAGTTAAGGGATTAAAAAAGTGTAAAAAATAATCTAAGGACCAAAAAAGTACAAAAAATAGTTTATGAACCAAAAAAATACAATTAAATAAAGTTGAGGGATAAAAAGTGAAATTTAATGAAGTTGATGGACAAAAAAGTGAAATTTAATAAAGTTAAGGGACAAAAAAGTGAAACTCAATGAAGTTGAGGGACCAAAATTAGCATTTAACCAATATTTTTCAAGTGGCCGGTGTGAAATGTGACGGAACATTAACGGAATAATAGGAGATTTGACGGAAGTTAGTTTTCCATCAAATTGGGACCTTATTTGAGAATTCCGTGGAGTTCAGGACCTTCATTGAGTGCAATCGAAGTTTGGGTCCGAAATTGCGAATTTGGTGTAAATTCGGGTCCTTATGTCATATTTTTGCCTTAACAATATTATATGTATTCTATATTTTATTTATTTTTTTATGTGGGTTTTTTATTTTTATTTTACATCAAATGATATTTTATACAATAAGAGAATTTCCTTTCCTTCCCTTAATCACTTTCCACTTGTCTCAATTCAAACTCAAGATTTCTAAGTTAGAATTTCAATCTTTTAATTAGTTGAAAAACTCCATTAAGGCATTTTTAAGAGTGCTATAAGATATAAACCATTAACACTTACAAGCAGTACCATTTCTATTCATATAGGTAAATTTCATCAAAATTGCCCCCATTATTAAGCACTTCAGCAAATTACTATTATGGGATTGGGACCTAGCAAGAACAAAGGGCTTAATCTCCATTTCTTTCATACGGTTAGCAAGTGCTCTTTCTACCTAGGATGTCATACTTATTGATTATATACAGTCACATACATGGTATCTATGAGGTGCTTTATTCATTGAAATCAAAACTTGATGCCACTAATGTTTAAGCAGCTTCACAAACCTACACTGTAGAGATCTTCAACTACTTCCACACTTGAAATACCTAAAGATGTTTTCTTGGGGAAAACACTCTAATGCTCAAGTCAGCAATATTCTACTCTTAGAGAGAGAAGCGTGATGGAGTTAATTCCTTGAATGAAGGTAGGTGGGGGTATTTATAGCCCTCCATCGATAATATCAAGTCCCACGTGTAAACACTCAGTTAATCCACTTGTCATGACCCATGTGGGTACATCTAGGTAAACACGCCCATATTCGAGGCTCTCTTAGGCTTTCGAATATGTAAAGCGGGCCTACTATGCAAGGCCTGATGTGGGTGTTGGGCCCATTCCCAACATTACTCCCTCCTCAATGCTCCATCAACAACTTAGGGTAGTTACAAGGTGGCCCAACATTCATCATAAAGAATCAAGTATATGGATGAGCTCACCACAACGATAATCTTTCAATGTCTTTTAGACTTTTGTATGAGCTCATCCTTCCTGATCCAAGATCGTAACGCACTAAGGCTTGAACATGCATCCAGCAATATTTGTACAATTTGGGTGAACTGATGTGTGAGCGACGAGGGTTTGATATTGCACATCTTCTCGAGTAAGCTCATCTGGTAAACTTTTCGAAATCTGCAAATGTATTCCGGAAGAGATATGGTTTTCAAGATGAGCTTATCGTGAATGCTCATCTTGACCGACCTTATCCAAGTATATTTTTCAGAATTCAAAATGAATCTTGGTGGAGAAAGGATCACGAATGAGCTTATACTTATTCTTGGTTAGGCTTGACATGGACGAGCCAAACTTGAACAATCTCATCCATGTGCTTGAAAGTGATGTAGTTTTCAAACGATTTGATCTAGGACGATCTCATCCATGTGAATGTTCTTTAAATTTTGAAATTGAATCTTTGAAGAGATACGATAGGGGATAAATTTGAAATCAAATCTTTGAAGAGATACGATATAATCCCCTACCACCCCCTTCAATAAATGCTGGTGTAGCAACTGAAGAGACGTGACAACCAAAGCTGACAAACGTCACATGCTGGATTATAAATGACCGCCATGTGTAAAGCTCTGATTGGCTATGTTAGAAACACATATGCAGATATCAAAAATGCGTGAACCATCAAAGAAAAGGGTAACGAAAATGACTGTCTTTGCATTTTGGCTATTTCTCTTCGAAACTGTTCTTACGATTTGTTGTAGCATGCATATTCGAGTTTTCTAGCAAAATCTCAAATCATTCAAGTAAAACATGGAGTTTTTTGGGAACTTAGAGAGCTTTAGGGTAACCAAGGAAGGGAGGAGGAAAAGGGGGTTGTGTTTATGGAGTCAATTACGATGATAGTACCATCGGCGTTACAGGATTTGCTAGAGTCTATCACACCAGAAAGCAGTGCCAGTTCAAGCATCAGTGATGGTTCTGGTAGTCGCCATTCTTCGCCTTCTAGAAGTTCGTCTTCAAAAGCAATGCCAAGAGACAATGGGGAAAGAAGGGGAGGTGATAGTGCTCATACTATGACAAGTATAGAGGAAAATGTACTAGTAATTGGTGCATGGGAAATATGCCCATTATCGGCAATTGGATAACATTCATAAGGTGCCAAAGGATTTACTCGTTGGATTTAGATTCAGGGTGGCTCTCCACCACGAGTTAGCAGACGGCACTACTACGATCTAGGGGTTTAAAAAATTAGGGGATTGGTAAGAAGATTTCAGATCCCTAAGCTAGTATTAGTGCGCGTTGGCGCTAAAAATGAAAGGGCATGCTCGGTGTCAAGAATTGGCTAGATACCAATATACTAGGATCACCTTGACACTAGCTTGCAATTTCCACTTCCCGAGTTTGTTTTCAATGTTTTGGCCTAGTACGAAGTGGCACTAACGCAGTTGACTAAAGTTCATCATAGGGTTCATGCTACTATATGCGAGGCTAGGAGTTCCTACGAAGGCAGTAGTTTTTAGAACGTTGTTTCAGTGTAGGTTGAGCAACAATCAAACGAGGTGGTATTACATCTGAGGAAGAGGGAAAATGATGTTATTTAAGAACGTAAAGAATAAGGTATGTAGGTGGAAGAGGCAATTCATTTTTGTGTGTGATACACGAACGAAAAGAATTAGTAACGAGCTCATTGCTCGTATCTCTGAGTGGTGCATAGTTGAAATATACATGAACTATCCAACTCTGACGTCGCATAATGTGGATTTAAAGAATACGTTGTTGGGTTATGTTGGAGGGGAAGGGTTGGTGGACTTGGAAGCCCTGGTTACCCTTGAGCATCTAGTGGCGTCCGGGTTTGTGGATACCACAAACTTGTATGTTGAAGGTATATTTCTTTCATAAATTTAAAGTTTTCATCGAGCTAAGTCTTATTGTATTTGTTTGTGTATGAGAAATGAGCAGCATGTTGGAAAGACAGCGCGAACGAGCTTAGAGGTTTAGAGGTCGGTGGATAGATTATAGTTTGCATAAACAAACCCGGTTTGAGGAATGACCAGAACCACCTTAGAGTTTGTCTCAAAGAGAACAAGGTTCCAGCTCATCTTGAAGGACACGACGAGCATAGAGTTCAACCTCCACCCCCTGATTCACGTCGGTGCCAAAGGGAAGAGGTGGACACCGATGATGACATGTCACGTCTAGTATGATGGCAATCAAGTACTAAGGTCCCCTCAACTTCTGTTCATTTGTCTAAAGTTCCTTCAACTGCATCAACCAGTGCCACCAAAGCTAGGCCAACACAGATGTAGGTCTCGTGCCCCAATATTGCATTCCTTGAGGGTTTTAGCTATGCCAAGGCTAATTGCATATGGTAATGCTACAGGGTATGCACAGCTTTGTGCCCCCGGTTGATAACAGAGGGCCAAGAATTACGTGCAATCTTTGAATTCTTTTGGAAATTCTTATTGCTTGCTTTGGAAAGCAACGATTATGGGTGGAATATCAAGCTTTCAACTATGTCGTGGTGCTGTTTGAGTGCAAATAGGCAGCTAAGGGACAGACACACAAGCTGACAGATAATTGAAAGCATTTGTCTGTAGAAAAGGCCATCTTGGAAGACAAGGTTAACAACCTTTAGAGCTCTGAAATGGTCAGCAGAGTCATCGCAATTGAAAGTTGAGCTCATGGGTTAAGCAGCCAGTTGATCAAGTTAAGGGAGAAGCTCGATAGGGTTGAGGCAGAGAAGGAGAGTGGTATTTTGGCCGCAAAGGTAAAGGCGAAGCGGGCTTAGGAGCGCACTAAGAAAACAAAGGCTTATAGAAATAGTGCTTTGATCGAGCTGAACATGATGAAGCTCAGGATAGTTGAGGCTAATTGGCGTGTTGGTCACATGCTGAAAGAAATGAACCAGACAAGAAGAGCTTTCCAATGGTCCATCGACATTGCACATGCCCAAGGACTGGAGTGGTTGTTGGAAACAGATGCATTCCAGGATGCCATAGCCATTGCATCAATCAATACCAAGATGCAAGTCTATGATGAAGTGTGTAGGAAGGTTCATGGAGGGGAAGAGATAGGTGAGCAAGGAAAAAGTTTAACTCCCCCATTTGAAATGGCAATTCGACTAAGGTGGGACTTGAATGAGGAAGGGGTACCTATCTTTCCACCTTCTATTCTTGAGGAAGGAGAGGATATGGAGCTTCTGCCAAGTTTCAAGGCTTGGGTTGCCGGGACACCTGGCGTAGAAGCTAAGCTAGCTAGTGCTCCTTCAGAAGCTCAGCCCGCTCCTTTTACTGGCTCTAACATAGTGACAATTATACCCACTGTAGATTTGACACATGATTAGGGGCTAAAGCCATTGATTTTTGTACTTTTGACATAGTATTCTAGACTATTAATTATTATTCTCTTGTAATGCAGAATGGAATTTAAATGGAATCAAATTAAGGAGACTTATTTACAACATTGGCACTTTATTGACACTTGATCATGTATATTACACTTTCCAATTGCTAAGGAAAATAACATATGTTAATTGTAGTATTTTCTAAGGTTATTAACATTCTATGTAAATGGTAATACAAGACCTTGTGAATCTTTTAACAAGTAGGATCTAGGTCATTTGATAACGATCACCTTGTATGGGCATTCCAAGTTAGGAGCGAGCTTGCCCAAATGTGAATAAGCATTTGTGAGCTCGGTCTTATGCAGAACTAGGTCGTAAACTTGAAATTAAAGAGCACAAACCCTCTTATTGTAAATTGGCAATGCAGCTTTACTAAGTCATGTTTTTCACTCGTGACGCCTTTCTAACCTCTTCAACAGGATCTATGTTTTCACGGAGGTGTTGTTCGTTAACAGCATCATGAAACTGAGAGGCTCTCCAACTTGGCAAACCAACTTCAACAGGGATAACAGCCTCAATTCCATAAGAAAGAGAAAATGTGGTTTCCCCTGTAGTTGAACTAAGTGTTGTTCTACACTACCACAAAACTTTGTTCAGCTCGTCTACCCAGTTGTGTGTGCAGCTGTTACTTGCGCTTTAAGGCCATGAAAAACAATTTCATTGCCTGATTCTGCTTGTTTGTTTGCCTATGGCATATAAACAGACGTAAGAACGACTCCAATGTCATAGTCTTCACAAAATGACTTGAGCATTGCAGCTCAAAATTGAGGGTCATTATCAGTAATAATCCGTTGAGGAATGTCAAACCTACAAAGTATAGAAGCGAATAAAAACTCTTCTACTTTCTTGTCGATAGTTGTGGATAGTGGCTTAGCCTTTATCCACTCAGTGAAGTAATCGACACTAACTAGTAGGTGTGTGCAACCCCCTTTGCCTTTAACAAAAGGACCAAGTAGGTCTATTTCTCATTAAGCAAAAGGCCAAGGCGAGGTGAGAGATGAGAGCATTTCTCTTGACATGTGGATGTTGTTAGAGTTAAATTAGCAAGTCGGGCATTTTTTGACATAATTCTACACGTCTTTAACCATATGAGGCCGATAATACCCTTGTCTAAGGAGTTTCTGAGCTAAAGTTTTTCCGCCTCTATATGTGTCACGTATTCTTTCATGCACTTCCCTGACAACATACTCGGTCTCATAAGGAGTAAGGCAGTGTAACAAAGGCATTGATACTGCTCGTTTATATAACTAGCCCTCAATTAAAGTGAAGTGAGCTGCTGTACGCCTAATTAGTGGAACTTCAGATAGGTCTTCAGGTAGTTGACCTGACTGCAAGTAATCAACGGTGTGGTCTAGGTCAACAATGATTGGTCAGTACTTAATATGTGACAGTCTTGTGGTGAATCGATATAACTCGGAGCATCCAATACTTTTACATACGTTGACTGATGAGGATAGATGTCTTATACTGAGGTGAGCTTAGATAATTCGTCAACTTGGTGATTGTCTACTCGCGATATTTTGTCAATTCTAAACAAAGTAAAGCCCGTTTTTAAACAGGAGACTACAGAGTAATAGCAGGCTAGTTGAGGGTCCTTGATATCACAATTCCTGTTGACCTAATTAACAAAGAGTTGAGAATCACTAAAGACCCATATATCTTGTACTTATAGCTCAGAAACTAACTTCAAACCATAAATGAGTGCCTCATACTCGGCAGCATTATTGGTTGTGTGAAACTTGAACCTTAGAGCGTGCTCCGTTTTGAAACCATCTTCTCCTTTTTTTAGCTGTGAGTTTAGTTCCAATTTTCATGATTTTTTTTGGTTTCCTAAAGTCTATCGAAACTGTTTCCATGGGCTCCACTGGCTCGGCCTATTGCTCCATGTTTTTAGGTTGATGATCTATGTCAGAGATGCTCATTGTTTATTGACCCGGCTAGCATAGTTAGGAAATCTGGGGAGGAAAAGCTTTAGGCGCTGTAGTGAGCTCAACCTTCTTGAACATGCCTTGGTAGCAAGCTTTAGTCATTTTCTGATTCCTCTTTAGTACTTCTATTCCATGGGGGGTTGGGAATTTCAGGCATAATTGTGGTTGAGAAATGATAGCCTTTAAGTTGCAAATTGTAGCTCTCCCAATAATGGCGTTAAAAGCTTATTCCACTTTGAGGACTAGAAAATTCACCAATACCATCCTATATCGAGATTCACTGCCTGCATAAATGGGGAGGGTGACCATCCCTTTAACTAGAATAGGCTGATTGTCAAATCCATATATAGGTTCTTTGTACTTTTTCAAAGAGGTCTAGTTCAGTTGCATTTTTTGGAAGTAGCTCCAATATTAGATACCTGGAAAACTACCTATATCTATAAGACCTTATTAACATTGTGATTCCCAATATGGACAATGACTACAAACGGGTCGGCATGGGGCATAATAATGTTAGGTTCTCTTTTAGATCTTTTATGGTCCAAGGGACTAAATTTGATTGGCATATTCTTCCATTTTACTTCCTCTAATGGTCTTTCAAAGGCCTGTTCTTGTTCACATTCATCACTTGTTGAGCATAGGCTTTATCACCGTGGGCACTTTGACCCCCCGAATGCATTCCACCAGAGATCATGTTTATTATGCCTAAAGGTGGAGGAATCCTAATGTAGCATATCCCTTTGTTGTCTTTTTGGTTTTGAGCGAAAGCCTTCTACCCTTGTCCGCTTTTGTTAGACTGATGTCCTCTATAGTTTCGACCAAGCTTAGAAGAATATTGATTTCCCTAGTATGTGTTTTGCTGGTTGCCAATCTAATATCCCTATACATTTGGCCAACTATAATCTTGCACATAATGAGTTTGACTTGGTTGTTGAGGAAAAAACTTTTATGTGTATTCCTCTAGTTTTCCATTTCGAGCTAAAAACTCCAACTTGTCCTTCAGACTGTGACAATCGTTTGTATGATAGTCATATCCACAATGGTAATCATAGTATTTGCTCTTGTCTGTTTGTGTTGGGTCATAAAGGGAAGGAGGCGGTTTCTTAATCCATTGTTGGATCTACATTAGGATTTGAGACCTTGACAAGCTTAGAGGGATATAGGCTGCATACTTTGAAAAACCAACATGTTTTCCCCTCTAATCGGTAAGTTTCAACTTCTTCTTTTCCTCTCTTCCCTCTAGGTGTCGATGTTCTTTGTTCAGTTTATCATCAGCTTGCCTTTTTGATGATTGAAAGTCCTTTAACAAGATGAAACTTGCT